GGCAGAGAGGATTTTTGTGATTTTTGTTTATTTTTCTTCCTCTACCTGCTACAGCCCGTGGTGTGCAACACTCTGCTCGTGCATCTCTGCAGATCCCTTGGGAGGCACGAGGGAATGTTAATGGACCGAGGGGGAAATGAGGCCAGGCCAGTGGTGTGATGCTACCAGAGGTCCATGGGGAAGGGAACAGAATCAGGGGGAACTTGGGATCTTTCTGTAAGCTCTCCACAACCTGCTCTCTCTGCCTTTGTGTTTGTTGGAAAATTCCCAGTTACACAGGAATTATTTAAGGAAATCTAATCTCAAACATTTCCTACCCCATTGATAAAACAGCCAAGTAGTAAAAGCTCGCAGCGGAGCCCAGCGGGGAGGCAGATGGCACGCGTGGGCACGGACCAGCCCTGTTTGCCCCATGGAACGCTGCAGGCTCAGCTCTGCGGAGCAGCTGCAGCTGGGCTGGCTCCAGAGCTGCCTCTTTGCTCATCCTATTCCCATAGTTTGGTTATCTCTCCCCTGCAGGAATGACGCCTTCATAGAAACTTAAAGCAGGGAGAGGAAAGTTTGGTTTTCACCACTTTCCACTCATGGTGAGCGGTGCAGTGTCCTGTGAGGTGGCTCAGCTGTGCCCAGGAGTCGGGGCACTGCAGGAATCACAGCTCCATGTGCTGCCAGGGGATGGTGTTGGGTGCAGGGGCTGGGCTGGGGGGGTTGATCTGGACCCAGGGGCTCCCAGCAGAGGTGTTCAAAGACGGTTTGCTGGCGATGGGCCCAGCCTGGGGCAGGTGCCAGCAGAGGGAGCTGAGGTTGTTCCTCGTCCACAAAACCCTTCGGAGCTGCTGGATGTGGCTTTTCCACAGGCAAGAGTCCTGTCCACCCACCTCCCAGAGCAGCTGCTGGCCTGGCCAGGCTTGGCTGGGTGGTGGGGTGGCACATGTCACTTGGCCTGTCACCACCACTGCTGGGACTGGGACAGTGCTGCAGAGCCAGGCAGGAGCTGCTGGGCAGGGACAGCATGGGCACAACCCTCTGGGTTGGGAATGAGGAAGGGTCTGCACACCAGGAGGCCCATGCTGTGTCTCATTTTGAAGGGTGACGTGTTGGGGGCAAAAGGGGGTCTGGCTGCTCTGCTGTGGCCTCAGGGTGGTGCACAGTTCTGTGGGAGGGAGAGAGGGACCCCAAAACCTTGGGGCTGGGGTATGGCCCTTTTTCCAGGCCCTTTTCTAGGAAAGCCATCCCACAGAACGGGGCTTTTCGCCTCTCCTGGGTCTCTCTGCACCTCTGGTGTGGAGCAGCTGGGCTCAGCAGGGTCTGTGCAGCTTTGGCATCCAGGGGGAAACACATCAAGAACTCACATTCCTTATCTAATCTGCAGCATTTTCCCTCCTCGCTGTTTATTGTGGCCATGTTTCCTCAATTAATTGACAGCTGCAGGCTGGGCTGTGACGTCAGCCTGTGGCATTGAAGCCCCAGACCCAGGGGTGGCATTGGAGGGACCCTGGGATGAGCCCCTCGAACCCCTGTGAGCCCAGAAGGGCCAAGGACCCTTGGGTAGGTGACAGAAAGAGGCACCTGAGGACTGACACTGCTGCATTGGGCAGCAGAGAGGGTCCCTGTCCCCAGAGAGGCCACAGGGACATCCTGGCTGTGCTTGGGGGACACTTGAACCTGTCCTGTCCTGCCTCCACCCCAGCAGTCACTGTGCTGCCCTACCTGAGGCTGCTCGTAGCCAGAGCTGGATTTTGCAGCGGGGCTTGGGCAATCGAGGCCACTGTGCCCTTGCGGGTGCCCCCCTGAGCCTGGCAGGACATGGCAGCAGCCCCAAAGCCCCTGTGTCTGCTCCACAGTGGGATGAGAGAGGACAAATTCCCAAACTACAGCTTTGGAGCAGCCTGGTTTGTCCCTCTTGGGAAGGAGGGGGTGAGTGGGGGCTCGATGCCCTGCGGGTGCCTCCCCAGGCAGGGAAGTCTCCTTAGGATGAGCCCGGCTGCTCTGCCTTGCCCATGGGGAGCAGGCTGGGAGGAAGCAGCTGAGGGTGCCTGAGAAGCAGGTTTGTCAGAATTTTAAAGGGATCTAAATCAATAGCGATAAGGAAACAATTATTTAAAGAGCAAACAAATGAAAATTGCTAAATGTACCTTATTTTTTCTTTTTTTTCTTTTTTTTTTTTTCTTGCAGGTGAAGGGTGCAGGGCTGATGCCTCTGGGTGCTGGGAGTGGGTCCTTGGGACCACCCTGGGGTGGGCAGTGGGGTAGCTCTGCTTGCTCAGCCCAGCCCCAGACAGGCTGGAAGCGAGCCTCACAGGACAAAGTGTTGTTTCATCCCACAAGGAAAAAGGTTTTATGGGTCATCTGGAAATGCTAATCCTCAGGTGAGCCCGTTTGTGACGTTTGTGAGCCTGCTGGTGTCACAGCAGGTGCTGGGTCAGCAGGGACAGGAACAGTCCTAGGCTGGTGTGGGGACACTGCTGTGTGTCACCTGCACCTGCTGGCTGCATTTGGAGGGGGAAGGGAGCCAGGACTGGTCACTGAGGCCAGGCAATCCCTACAGGGCAAGGATAATTTCTGCACCTTCTCCGTGGAGCTCAGGATCCTTCTTGGGTTTGTGGCAGGGCCAGGCTGCAGCTGGAGACCATCCCTGCCCCATGGAGAGCATTTCCCCTGCCCTGCCTGGTACAGGGTCCCCAGGAGCAGAGAGCCAGTGGAGGATCCCAGCTCCCCACACATTGGGGCTGTGCCTGTCACCACTGGGGCTTTGTCTCAAAGGGCAGCTCATTCCCATCCTTCCCCCCCATGGTGTTTTCATCGGCTTTTGGTTGGGGATTAGGCACATGTTGACAGAACAAACATTTTGCTGCGCTCAAAATCCACTGCTGAAGAGAGAAGTGATGTCCCTGCTCTGCTGGTGCCTGAGCCAGCACTGGGATGGGGACATTTGGGATGGGGAGAGCCAGGCTTGGGGCCAGGACAGCCCTTTGAGGGGAACATGGAGCCATTTCAGGTCACATCCTACACCAGGGCCAGAGCTCAGTCTCTCTGCTCCCTCACAGAGCATTAACCATTTTCTGCTTTAATATCCTGCCCTGTGAAACCAGGGACACCACAAGGAATGCTGCCTGTGTCCAGCAAGGCTTTGACAGGTGCTGGGGCCCCCCTGCCCAGCTCCTGGTTCCCATCTCAGCTCCTTCCTCCCCAGACCTGGCTCCAGGAACTGCGGCTCTGCACGGTGCTGGTGTTGGGAAGGCTGACAAGGCTGGGGATACCCAGGAGCTGCCCACAGAAGCGTGTGTTTGCCAGGGAAAAGGAAATTCCTCCAAGCTCTGTGGCCAACCCAGTGACTGCACATTGGGGAAAGACAGGACAAGGGATCTCATTTGGGATCCTGCCGTACATCACACACCCCGTTTTCCCTGCATGACTGCCGAGGTCCTGGCTCCTTGCTGAGCCCCCAGGCCAAGGTGCTGGACCCGGGCGATGCTCACGGGAGTGACACGTTTCCTTCGGAGCTCGGTGAGTCACCACTGAGTCACGGCTCGCTCTGCGGGCAGCTCCGTGTCCCTGGAAGGCTGCGGGATGTGAGGTTCCTGCACCGGGGAGCCCTCCTCTCCCTGCTCCCCTGGCCTTGCAAACCCGGCTCTGTGGCTCAGGAGCGATGGGAGATGGGTGACTGGTCCCTGCTGACCCCCTCCTGCCCCTCACCACGCAGCCCCTCCAGCCTCCAACCCCAGCTTCGAGCTGAGACCAGACAGTGGGGTTTGGGGTAACCTTAAGGGGTTTTCTCCCTGGGGCAGGACCTTCTGCAGTTCTCCTGGGACGGACAGTGCAGAACCCAAGGGGAAATCAGCACCAAGAGCATCCCCTGCTCCGGGGGCACGCTGTGCTGGCCTGGCCCGTTCCAGCCGGGCTGTTTCCCTGATCGTTTTGCATGCGGGGAGAACGGGCAGCAGAAGAATGAATTTGCATTTCTCAATGGCACCCAGTGTGGGAAACCAAAGCCGAGGAGGGTTCTGCTGCCACTCGGCCCCGCACCGGGGCTGTGTGAAAAGACAACATCCCTTCTGCTGGCACGGTGCCCGGCCCGTCTCACCTGGCTGCCCCTGTGTACCTGGGAACTGCTGCTGCCGAGCGGCCCCGGCACGGGCAGGGGCTGCTGACCCCCCCTGCCCCGTGTGCCGCTGGGACGAGCAGGTGACAGTCACACAAGACTTGTGTGGGTTATTTTGGGGGGTTCTCTCATGCTGGATGGGATTTAGGGTTGGTGTGCTGATGCAGCAGCTGCATGGAGAGCCCAGAGCAGGATCCTCCCCCTCCTCTGCACCCCAAATCTCCGGTGGGGGTGCAGGGGGAGCCGGGACCTCTCCTCCCCCCGTGGCGAGCGGGCTGTGCCCCCGCCGCGCTGAGCCCGCTCCTCCTGGCACCGCCGGGCGACCCGCAACCATTTCCAGGCTTTTAATCCCAAGAGACAAAGGCAGGAGTTTAATGCCAGCGGAGAAAGAAAAAAGCAGGGCTTTGGGAAGGGAACAGCAAACACGGCGGTGGATCCGCTGCTCCCTGCCTGGCTGGGCGTCCCACGAGCTCCCCTCTATCACTCGGGGTGGCACTGAACCTGGGGGTGCTGGGGGGGACCGAGGTGGCAATGGTGGGGAGCTGGTGCTCCAGGGACCGGTGTCTTCATCCGCCTCCCCCAGCTCGTCCTTCCCCGGCTGCCGTCCCAGGCACGGCCAGGCTGCAGAGGCAGGACTGGGGCAGCCCAGAGACAGACCGTGTCACCTCCCGGTGCCTCTGAAAGGTGCCGGGCGAGCACCAAGGTCTCTGTGCTCAGCAAAGGGATGGCACCTGGACCCCTCATGCCATCAGTGTGGAGCAGACGCCTTGTGCAGCTGGATGGAGCCGACTCCTGCAGCACCCCCTCGGCACCCTCGGGGGCTGCCCTGGGATTCAGGTGACATCGCGGTCCCCTCGCAGCGGCACGGGAGCAACCAGGAGCCACCTCGTGCAGTGGGGATGGAGTGTGGGAGCAGCGAGCAGGAGCTGGAGCAGGCTCCGAGGGGGGACCGGGTGGCGGAGCAGGGCCGGGAGCCCCGGCTCCTCTATCAGGGTGGGGGCACGGCAATAAGGCGGCTGTTTGCCCCGAGCACACACGCGGCCCCGTAAACGGCGTTTATGGCAGCAGCTGGGAGATGGGGGAGCCGGGGGGGTAATAAAAAGAATAAAGAGGAGCGGCCCCGCTCGCCCTGGGGCTGCAGGGGAAGTGGGTACGGTCTGGCTGGGATAAGGAGGAGCCAGAGGGGATTCCGGTGGTCTGGAGCAATCCCAGCAGTTCGGGAGCTCTGGACGCTCTCCCAGGTAAATCTGCACAGGGACATTGCACCATCAAAAGCAACCTCCGTGCACACCTGTGGGTTCCTGCACCTCTGCTCCCTGACCCTCTGGGTAATTCTGGGCTCTGCTGGAGGGACCTTCTCCTCTCCCAGGACCCCTCCAAGGCGTGGGGAGAATGCATTAAAGGAACTTCAACCATTTCAACCATTTCCAGTCTCCTTGAGCTGCAAAAAAGCCTCAGAGCACCCACCCCGCAGCCTGGGAGTGGGGAATCCTCCTGTCCCATTATCAGCCTGTGGCACAGACATGGGGTGCAGGATGTGGCCTCTCAGAGGGACTCTAGTTCTACTCAGGGGCCACCACTGTCCCAAAAGTTGTGCAGGAGCTGGAGCAGAGGAAGCCCCACCACTGCAGGGGACCAGGAAACACAGCTGCTTGTGGGGACAGGTCGGGCTCCATGCTCTCTGTGGTTTGTGCAGTGACATCAAGGGCCTTCAATAGTTTTATTATATGTGACATGGCTGCTTATCTATTATTCTTGTGATGCAGCCAGAGATTAGCTGCAGGCAGGTGGGCAGAGATTCCTCCAGGCTGATTCATGAGTCATTTCTCCATCTCTCCCCTCCGGCCACGTTCCCAAGCACTGAAGTTTCAGCAGTGGCAAAAGACACCGGAATTGGAGCTGATGGGTTGACAGGGAGGACAAGGAAAAAGTACCGAAAACTGCGCACACAGGGCAGAAAAGCCAGACTTCATTTCCCTCTTTTGTTGTTCCTCAGGTGTTGCAATCTCTCCTTTTCCTGGTTTGCATGTGCAAGCAGAGCTGTGCCGAGCTGCGATTGCGAAAGGTGTCGAGGAGAGCCCGGCACAGCCAGAGCCCAGTGTGGCCAGAGCCTGGTGTGGCCAAACCCCAGCACAGCTGGAGCTCCTAGAAACTGGTGACACTGGGTGGCTCCAGCCTCTGAGCCCTCTGGGAGGGAAGCAGAGGTCTCATTTTGAGGCCTTTCACCCAGTTTTGCAGCACTGTGCTGCACTGCCCAGCTCTCCCTGGGCCCAGAAAAGCAAATGTTTTTCCCTTTAATCTCTTTCCATTATCGAGATCCCGCTGCTACTGATAAGAGAAATAGGAAAAGCTCTTTCAGACTGAGGTGTGAATTTGGAAACAGGTCCCAGACAGCCCAGGATGACCCAGGTCTGGGATGCTCTGGATCTGGGACTGGGAACTCCCCGCTGCTTCGTGACATCTGACACTGTCCAGTGTCCCCAGTCGTGCCTTCTTCAGCTTTGCATCTGACTCCTTCTGGTGCTCTGGTCTAGTGTTTGCTTTGGTGAAATGTTGTAAAGAAGCCAAATAAACACGGGTGACCTGGAGGTGGTGTCACAGCAGATCCAGCTTGCACAGCTTGTATAAACCAAACCCAGCTCAGCAGACATCCCCCATGCCACAGCCTGGCTGTGGGGTAGGAGCGGAGCGGCCACAGGGAGAGCGGGATGGGCATGGTGCTTTCCCAACACAGCTGGTGCCAGCTGGTGTCGAGTTTACACATGAGACACTCGTGTTTCTGCGCTGTGTGGAAGGGATCCATGCTTGGAGGGCTGCGGCCCCAGGGCTGTGCTGGGATGCTCCTGCTCCAGGGGCCCTTCGGGGATCCTGAGGCGTGACACGGGAGCAGCTTTGGGAGCTTGTGGGGCCTTGTCCAAAGCAGTGGATGCTCTGAGTGGGCTGGGGAGCTCTGCTGTGGCTGCCAGGAGCACTGGGAGGGCACTGGGTGGCCTGGACCCCCTTCCTGGCTGTGCCACATCCCAATCAAGCATGCCCAACCTCTGGCAAAGCCCGGGCAGGGGCTGGCGGCTTCCCAATACAGCAGCTTGTCCCAGGGTCCCCCCACAGCCCCTGCCACGTGTCCCAGGCCCAGCCGTGTTTACCAAAACCGCAGAAAAGAACTCCCCTGAGACAGGGAGCCCTGATCCAGGGGGAGCTTTCCCCACGATAAGATAACATTGAGGCGTTTCAAAGGGAGGCAGAAACTCCTGGCGCTGCCGATAGCAGCGAAGCCCTTTCCCAGCGCCCGCAGCGGGGTCTCCTTCCTCCAGGGTTTTCATTTCCTCACGGCAAACATTTCCAACGGGTGGCTTATCGGCTGTGCCTGCCCCGGGTCAGGGCAGCAAGGGATGCCAGCTCTGCCACCGGTATGTGGGCTGGGGACGGGCCATGTGCCTGCTGGGACATGGTGACGTGGGGCCAGCCTGTGGGTGTTTGTGGCGGGGTTTGGTCTGACGTGGGTTTTTAGGGCACGTGGGAGTTTGGTTTTGGCAGTGCTACATGAGCAGGAGAACTGCCTTAACTGCCCTGCCTGCTTCATGTGCTAAAAAAAAGACAATAAATACCAGCTCGGTGTCTGTCTTGCTCAGAACTGCTTTTTCCTGCTCATGCCGGTGGAGACAACCTGGGCCTGGAGTGCGGCACATTCTCGCTGTGTCCCCATGCCCCATCCCACAGTCACGGACCCATGGGCAGAGCTGTGTCCCTGAGGTGGGAGGGTTTGGGTGCTATCGGGGGCTGCCTTCACCCCAACAGCTCTGTGCACCCTCACTCACGGGCTGTGTCCGTGGCTGCAGCACTCAGGCAGGGGATGGTTCTGGGGCTCGGGTCAGGGGTGTTCCTAGGTGCCACTCAGGGATGCTCCCAGGATGTCTCTCAGGGATGCTCCTGGCCCCAGCATGGCCCAGCCTGCTCTGGGAGTGATGTCATGCCACCGACGCTCACACATCCGACAGGTCTCTGTGCTGCAGGTCTGAGTCCAGGAGGAGCCAGATGTCTGTCTGTCCCTGTCCCTGTCTCTGTCTCATCCCATGTGAGGGTGGCAAGGGGTTAACGGTGCCCGGGTTTGCCCCACTCCCCTCCCAAGGCCCGTTCTGGCCTAAGCCTGCCCTGGATGCACCTGCCAAGGGTTAACCCGGCCCGGGCTGTTCAAACACCTCGGCTGAGGTAAGCGCTGCTTGTTTGTTCAGGTAAATAAGGAAGGAATTGGATATAATGGGCAAAGGCGGCTCTGGCTGAGCCCTGACACTCACTGCCGGCACCCCCCTCGCACAGCCGTCGCTGGCTTGGTCCCTGTCCTGCCCCCGGAGCCACTCGGTGTGCCCGGTTCTCATTGCCGTGGCAGCCGGTGCGGATGGGGCTCAGCCCGGCCGCGCTGCCGCCGCGGAGCCGGCGC